TTTTAATCCCGCCGGAAATTGAAATGTCGCGCGACGATGTCGTCGGGCTCCGATTGCGACGCCAATAGAGATTTATGATTTTAGTTTTACTCTTGAGTACCGATCAAATTGCCACTTTTCGGTTAAGTGCTATCGAGCAATTCCAATTCCGAACGAGATATTAATCTTTGATCCTCGTGAAAAGAACTTCCGGCCGAAAGTGGCTGCGAACATTTTTTATTTCGTTTCATTTATGTAAACTTATCGAGATAATAAGGGCCCGGTTCTCGGCTCAATTTTGATCAAATTCGGATCCGTTCCGTTCGATCCAGCGAATTAGTTCTCGAGTTCTCGCAAAACTAAAGTAACTCAATGTATCATCAATTTGGCACATCACATCTTAACGCTTGATATTGAACGGTAAAAGAATAATTCGAAATAAAGCAAGGAAGGAAAACGCACACGACTAAATTGAGGAAACAGATATTGCTCAAGAAAACTATCAGATTAAAATCCATCATTACAAAGTAAATCCTATTAAGTTTAATCGTTTTGGTAAGATTATCAATAGTTTTAAATGTTTCAAAATTCTAAGATATAGTTTATTCGAAAATTGCGTATCTTCTCTGCTATTAATAGTGTGATTATGCTTGTTAATACGTATCATATCAGAAATCAATCTTTTTCGTTTGTTCGCTTTCCCGTATAAAAAAATGGATATTATCAAAGTTGAAACTGAGAAGTGTTTTTTCTTAAATATATACCGGAATGGGTAACTGTTTTTCTAAAATAAAATTATCAAAATTCTTCCATAATCTTCTAAGTATCTTCGTGACTTGCAACAATAAAAGAATACACAAAGAAGAAAAAAAATAACAAACGCCTATTAACCCAGAAACTTTTATCACACCAAGCCAACAACAACAACGACGACGACGACGACGACGACGACGACGACAATGACGAATACAACAAACTAAAAGGAGAAAACGTAGCAACTAACGTAACCGATTCCCTTCGCTGGAATAGAGAAAAAAACGATCAAGAGTAGGGAAACTACTTCAGCTGCCGGAAAGAAAGTTCTCTTCGCTCTCTGGTACACGGGAATATAAAAGCGACTTTTATTAATGAAAAAAGCCGTAGCTGCCATTATTAACGAAGAAAGCCCAAAACCTGCGCGCGCTTTTGGTGGGAGTTTCAGCGGCAACCCCCGAGGGGCATGACTCGCCAGAATACGACCAACCCCTCGTGTATACATATATACCCGCAGACGTGTACGTGGCACGCAGCGCGCGCGCACGCACGCGCGCGTAAGGCACTCACGCACCATTGCTCATATCGCGTATCGCCCGCGAAGCGAGGATAAGTCTGTATCGATTTCGAATGGCGGATGGATGCCACTTTCTTTTGCTTCTTCGAGGCCGGATGGGAGCTTTTTTTTGCTCCCCGAGCCGTGCCAGAAGGAAGTTTGCTTCAGGGAGAATGATTCGAGAAAGAATTTCGGAAGGTTCTTCGTTTCTGGAGGTTTATATATATATATATATATATGTGTGTGTGTTCTCTTTTTTCACGCCCGTAATCGCTCGTGATTCCTTGTAAGCATCGCGGAAAATTGACGACCCAAGAAATACTCGGGAAAGCTCTCCCAGGGTCCCCCCTCCCCCTTCCGTGCGCTATCAAGAGTTTTACCGTTGTACAGTTTCCGCAGTTCCCCGAAAGCGAGGCGATCGCGCGCGATTTCCCGCGACGCGGCGAATGACAAACGGGAATACCGGGCGGCAGCTGCCTGCGATCGAGGAATAATGCGCACAACGCGAGAAAGACTTTCACGATCTCCAGAGACTGTCGCGATCGTATGGCTCGGGAGGTGGCCGTCGTACATTGTGACGCGGCGGCATGACACGCGCGTGGACGAAAATATTGATTCCCCGCGGCGAAGAAGTGAGAATCGCTATTCCCCCGGCCGCCTCATTTTCCTCGGCGCTTCGGCTGATACACATGTATACACCTCTTTTTTGGGCGTGGCGCTGCTGTTTCCGCGTATCGGGCGCGCGTCTCCCCTGTAATGGGATCTCATTGTTGCCGCGCGAGAACGTAATCGCGAGGATTATGCGCTCGCTTTGGTCTTCCGAATTGCTAATTTGACGAAAGCCGCGCGGAAAACAATGGACCTCTTCCTATTCCGCGCGATCTTGTCGAAATTCAAATTTTTCGCGATCCCGCGCGTACACGCTGTGGGGCAAGGAGGAAGAGGACGCGGAGGAAAAAAAAAACGAAGCTAATTGAATTCATCGTCGTCGACGGCGCACTCGCGGTTCGTTCCCAATTTCCAAAGCGAATTCACCCTTGAAGCCGTCGTGTTCGTCACGCTCGTTGCTCGTCGGAAACGACGGGATATGTATATTCCCTTTTTCGTTTTTTTTTTCGTTTTTTCCATCGGCGCCGTTATCGTCGCTCGCACCCTCGCAAGCCTTTGTGACTAATCGAGCCGGAAATTAACGCAACGCGACCGGGGATTAACGAATCGGAATGACCTTCGGCCAAAATTTTTCCTCTCTTGCGCGTGCTACGCGCGTTTCACCAAATTTTGCACTTTCTTTTTTGTTTTCTTCTCTCCTTTCTTTCTTTTATCGCGAGGGAACAAAGCGCTCGAGAGCGAAGATTGTATAATGCGCATTGTTGAAGACCGTCCGCGTTATTAGGGATACGCGGTTGAATGTAGAAGGCAAGGGAATTCAATTTATAATTTCAAAAGAAGTTGTGATCGCAAACGAACAGAGGATCGATAGAAATCAATGTGAAAAATCTGCTTGCAAAACAATGGACGATTGTTTTTGCGGGGACTCGCGCTGGGAGGGAAGCGAATATGAAAATGGGCGCGACGACGAAGCCACGATGCCATTCCCCCCGCGCGCGCGAAGCGTTCTTTCGCAAAAATGCTCATCGATCGAGAGCAGGTGCGAACGTTTCGTGGCACGACGGAATTAAAGACGAAAATTACACGTGAAATTGCTTTCTCGCAATGCGGCAACGCGTGAATTTGTTGTTTCTATTGAGCCACACCGACGCGCTTCAACGCTCCGAACATGCCACATGACGCGTGCAGCAGCTCGCCAGATGCTAGAGGTGCAGGCACGCGTGCGCTACAATTTTTTTCCCCCTGAAAAATGTATAAGAGGAAAACCGTACTTTCGCTGCCGGGGTAATTGTTTTTTTTTTCTCTTTTTTTCTTTTCTTTCTTTTTATGCAGGCCAACTTCACGGCGCGATTATAAATCGAAATGCCTCCGCGGGAGCGGAAACGCGCGTTTATGCCGCGCCTTAACGACCAACAATTTTTACAATTTCCAGATTGGTTACGCGCGAGCTTTGCCGCTAGGTCTGCAATTTCACCTTGGCGATTGCGACGCGAGGCGAGCGAAAATATTTTCTCTCGAGTGGCAGATGGGAGTTCGATGGAGCGAGTGGGAGTACGAATAAGGCCGCTGATTTTACGACGTAAACGAAGCTCATTTAGATACGAGACGAAAACTGGCCATTTTGAAAAAAAGCCAGCGAGCGTCGCAAGGAGAAGGGAACCGAGGCCTCGCGCGCGCAATTTCATCCGAGTGCTCGCTCGTTTGATTAATGGATCTTCGTCGACGAGTCGATCGATTCCACGAGGAATTTTCGTCGGCGCATGTGTATACGCGAAATAAATTGGATTATTGTTGTTGCTGTTATTTTCTCTCTCTCTCTCTCTCTCTCTCTGTTCCTTCTTTTCGAGGCGCGCAACACCTTTTACTCCATTAGCTTGATCAAAAGGTGCGAGAGAGAAATTTCTTTGGCGGGTAGCCGTGATGCGTAGCGCGCGATTTCCTGGGCCGACGACAGATTCGATCAAGCGTTCGGCCCGTCCAAGAGCGAGCTTGCGCACGAGACGAATCTCGTCGCGATGAGACGAACATTCGCAAAGACGGCGATACCAGTTGCAGAGACGCCGCGGCACCGTTCGTGCTCGGTCGTAAACGAGAAGTCTACCCCCGGCGGCGAATTCCACGAGTCAGAGGCAGTCGAAAGCGATATCCCCGAAGAAATCCAAACAATTTTCCAATTTCTCAGTGTCGATCACGTCGACCCCGAGGAAGCAATTAAATGCGCGCGGGGCTTTCGTACAGACGCGCATGGGATCGTGTGTACACACACACACACCACACACACACACACAACACCACACAGCGCGCGCGTGGGTATAAAGTGGCTGGCTTGCCCGCGAGAAAGGTCTGCGTGGCGGTGTTAACATCGTGGAGGGAGACGGATAGGCGTGTCGGTCGCCACTCCCAGCGGCCGCTCTCATTGGTTCGAGATCCACGCGTGCGTCGGCCGAGGGCTCGCGCTCTCGGGTTCCTCCGCGGGGCCCCCGAGACACTTGGCTCCGGAGACGCGCTCGCGCTCTCGAGGATATCGAGAAGAAAGCCCAATTACGAGCGACGAGGCGAGTCGTCGATCGCACGGCACGCAGCAGCGAGCGGCAACGAGTCAAAAGTCGACGCGACGCATTGTTCGCTCTTCCGTTCTATCGGGACCGGCTGGTACGCTTTGTACCCGTTCATTTGCATTTATTGGTATTCCTCGTGCCCCACACAGCGGCATGCATACATTGTACCATGCGACTCCGCCGACCGTGAGCATATTCATTTTCATGTTCTTCGGATCGATGTAATCTTGTTAATGCTTGTATTCACCTTGTCGTTATATCCCTTTGCCGTGCAAGAAAAAAAGAATAAAAACAACGAATAAAATAAAAAAGTAATCGCGTTTGACGGGAAAAGTAGGTTTTGTTATTTCAATTCCCTCGCGGCGGAACGATCGCTACGAAAGCGAGGTAAATACACATTTTGAAATTCCAAATTGGATTTTTTTTTTGTGAGCGCGCGCCGCTCTTAAAGTCCCATATTCTACGAAGAGAGAATCATTACAATGCAAGAACGAAGAAGAAGAAGATGTCGATATACGTATGAAAAAAGAAAAAGATCGACTCACCGGTTTCCAGATCGACGGTGTAAAGGGATTCCAGCCCACGGGTCCTCCTCCTTGGGGCGGCTCTTCCTTAATTTTCGGCTCCTTCGGAACAAGCCAAAAGAAAGCGAGGATAGAGAGAGAGAGAGAGAGAGAGAGAGAGAGAGAGAGGAGAGAGAGAGAGAGAGAGAGAGAGAGAGAGAGAGAGGAGAGAGAGAGAGAGAGAGAGAGAGAGAGAGAGAGAGAGAGAGAGGCTTCTTCGAGAATTTAGAGGCAAATGTAGACGTCCAGGGCACAATGCGCGGCGCGCGCGCAACAATGAGCGCGCGAGAGAAGGCAGTCACGAAGCGATTTTCGCGCGATGACGCGCGCGCTCGTCGCATTGTTGCGAGCGCACAAACGGATGAAATCCTCGAGAGCCATTCGACGACACGCCGCGCTGGCGCATTGTCACGTTTTTTCTTCGCGTCTCTCGGCTCCCCCCACATGCGTGTACGAAATTTTCGTAGCGCGCAATGCCCGTCGCCCATGTGCTCGTGGACGGGGCGAACGGGATTGCGCTCGGCGTAACGACGCATACCGCGGGGATAGCAAGGCGCTCGTGGACCGGCGGATCTCGCGGCGTCGCCCTTGCCCGCGTAACGTTTACGGCTCAATCTCGCGAATCGCATCGGACGGTCCGTTAGCGTGATTTCATCGGCGCGACTCGAAAAATGACATGTCACGGGCGCCCGAATTCGACTCACACAGTCGGGCGCGCAAGGCAGGCGCGTCGATGCGCACTCCTCTCGAGCTTCGAGGATTAGGCCGCGGCGGCCACAACGATAAACGTGTCTTTGTTGCGCGACCCGGGCCACATAAGAGAAGTCGAGCTCTCGAAATCGCCCGCCGCGAAAAATCCGAGAGACGGACATGACGAGGCTTATATAAGGCCTGGGCGGCTGACTTGGTCGCCGCGTGGGAATCCACGCGGAATGGCGGAAGGTCGGGTCGATCTCATAGAGACGTCAGCGCGGAGAATGCCGGCCGCGGCCGTGCGCGAGTCGAAAAAGGAGCGCTCCTCAAAATGGCCGCCTCAAGATGGAAAACGCAATCAAGGCTGGTGCCAGGCGCGCGCGCAACGTTTGAGAATGAGTTTAATGAAAACAGCATTGTGCGCACGGGGCCCCCCACGTCGCGGGATCATTAATCACTCGGCCTGATAGCGGCGGCGGCAGCAGCAGCAGCAGCAGCAGCGCCCTTTACAAACCTCGCCCGCGGCTCTTGCTGCATGATGTATCGTCGAGTGCTGTACGCGCAACTCTGTATGTGTGTGTGTGTGTGTTGTTTGCGAGATGCGCGCGCGCACATGAATTATGAATGCCGAAAATCGAACCGCTGCTCTCGCGTGATTACGAAACCCGAGGGCGGAGGCAATGATTTTCCGAAGAGACGGCGCTTTTGCAGCGACGCTGATAATGCAATTCCTTTGGTTTGTCGAGTGCTGACGAGCTTTGACTTCTTTCTCGAATAGATGGCGCGAATCGCGGCTCGTCACCACACACACACACACGCACACACACGGCGTTAATCGAAGCTCGGAACCTGCGATTACGTCGCAGCACGTGCGCGTGAAATCTAGAGCACGTTTCGCGCGATCGATGGAACGCCGAATAAAGGCCTATATCGTTGGTCGCGCGCCTCGCGAATCTGAAAAATGACGCGCTACAACGTCGAACGGCGATCCTCTTCAATTTCCAAAGGGGCGCACGCGCGCTTACGCGAGGCCGCAAAGTGAAGAAGAAGGGAACGAAAATTGATATTTCGAATATGTATTCCCCCGCGCGCGGGACCGCGCCATCCATCAAGCTTTCTTGAGCAAATGAACTGTGCGCGCGGCCAAGACGCCATATTTCATGCCGGGGCGAAACAATCGTGGCGTGGAAGAAAAAAAAAAAGGACGAGAGAAAAAAGTAGGGACGCCGCGGCTCGTTTCCATTTTCAATTTCCAGGGCCATTAATGCGCCCCCCCCCCCCCCGGGCCCCTGATGCTCCGATCTCTATTCGCGCGGCTGAACCAATGGCGCTCGCGGCCGCACATCTATCATTTTCAGGAGGCGTTCCCGCGTCATCGGCAACCGGCGCACGCAGGGACCACTACGCCGCGCGCCGCACTCTCTTCGAGCTTGCCTATCCGTTGACTAGGGGCTAGGGCGCGAGCTTGCGACCCAGTGAAGCTTCGCGAGCTCGTAAGAGGGGGGAAAAAAACATTCGATGAGCGAATATGAATAACGTACGCCACCGCGGACGTTGCGTCGTGTCTCCCGAAAAGAAAAAGATAATAAATAAATAAAGAAAGAAAAAACCAGCAAATCGAAATGGATCGCGTATTATGAGAAAGAGGGATCGTCGAGCTTTCACGTCATGCGTATACTCCTACATATATATATATATACTTATATAGGTATACACATTGATGCGCGCGGAGCTGGCGTGCATCTAAGGAATCTTTGTCTGTTCTCGATGCGGCCTCATCACAAAGGAGAAGGCGAGCGCGCGCGAGAGATAGACATCGAACTACCGAAGGCCAAAAGGGGGAGAGAGAGAGAGAGAAGAGTCTGTGCGATGTGATGGGCGACCCGCCCAGGACGTCCCTGCAACGTCATCCTCGTCGGCGCGAGAGAGCCTGGTATGCGTATTATACAAGATACGCCGACGATGGGATGGTACTTATGTCTTTCATCTCGACGCAACGCACAGAATACCCTTCGATTGTTTTTTTTCGCCCTTCTTCTTGCTTCTCTCTCTCGTATTTCGTTCATTTCGTTTTATTTAAATCGAATTTCTCGTAAATAATCTTCGACGCGGGAGCAAATTCACGGACGTCGTTTACTCGCACGAGCGGATTCTCCTTGATTACCCGTTCCTAGCCTCGCGTTTTCATAGGTAACATTGCGGGCTCGAGAACACGGCGGACTCTTCAGAGTCGCGGCGAAGCGCGAGGCGCAATCGCGCGGCGGCGATACAAGATGAAACGTGACAGCGATGCCACGCCACACGACGCGCGAGTGTGCAAGTAAGAGAGAGAGAGAGAGAGAGAGAGAGAGAGAGAGAGAGAGAGAGAGAGAAAGAGAGATGTCTCGAACGAGATAACCCCTCCGTTTTGTTCGATGCGTATACCTGCCCGCGGCTGCTGATAATGATCGGCCGATTTCGGTGGATCGCTTATATTGTGACTCGATTATGATGAATCGCGCGCGGATTGTGCCTGGACATTGTTTTCGAATATCGCTTCTTTGCTGTTAGTGTCTGTGTGCGAGCCTCTGCGAGAGCGCAGGAATTAGACCGTGCTCCGGTCGATTCCTATTGTAATGTTAAATAGTAAGCGATGTACCGATGCGATGACTTGTTGCCGATTAATCGACTTGTATCGGGTTGTGCTTCGAATACGTGGATACGGTATGCTATTTTTAAATTGAACATATGCAAATTCCACGTACAATTTACAATCGAGAAAAATCGGCTCTTGCCATCGAGTAGATTAGACAGAAAGTAATTGTACATCTCCCGCGATGAACGCAATTTTTATCCACGAAAATCTGCTCATCACAGCTTTTTCGCATACGTGTGCGAGTATCTCTCAAAAGTTAGTCAGACATCAGTGGATCAAAATCTTCCACATCGGATATCCATCTATGAATTTTTTTTAATTACGATTTGCCATTCATATAGTAATACATACACGTTAAACTTCCGCGGAAAATCAAAGTGAAATATTTGACTACGCGATTCGTCGCGATAAAACGAAAAAAAAAGCAACGACAATAGAATGTTCATACCTTCTCGTCAGCATGGTTGATGGCTTGTAAAGCTTTGAGCTTCTCAAGGTCGTCCTCGGACTCTTTTTTCGAAGTGGAGGCTGAGTTTTTCGCGGGATCGACAAGTGTGAAACCCAGGTCGACGTCCTGTTTCCACAGCACCTCGATCAAATCCATGTCCTGCGAACAAAAAAAGCAAAAAAAAAAAAAACGGAAAAACGTTATCGTTCAGTTAGAAAGTGAGACTCGACGCTTTTGTCGTCGTCGTCGTCGTCGTCAATCGCCGTTCATTCCGTGCACTCTGTATACACTTCCTCTCTCCCGACACGCTTTCACCCTCGCGCTTCCGAACGTTGTCGCAAAGAAGAAATAAAAAGGAAAAAAAAAAAAAAAAAAAAAAAAAAAAAAACGAGCAGAGCCCGCGCGCGCCCCAATTAACCAAATCGCAGTCTGGGCGATCGCGCTTTTTTCCTCTCCGCCGCGGGCGAGCGACTCGGTTTGTTTTAGTTTTTCCTTCCTCTTTCCCGACCCCCGCCTCCCGGCGATCGCGTCGACTGCGCCAAAGCGAGAGCGTTCGACAAGAGATAAGCCCACGAAGGATGGTCGGCGGGATGGAAATCGGCGCCCGGCCGATTGGCAATTACCCATCACGATGCGAATCGATTATGCATCGCGCGTCGCGTCGCGACGACGCGCTTGACTTATTAGAAAGTCATTAACTGATATGAATTTCGCTCGCCGCGCGTCGAGACGCACGCGGAATCGGAGCCAATCTATCGCGGGTATATCTCGTGACGCTGCACAAATTGCGAAAGCCCCGGCAGCAGCTGGCCGATGCGGGCGCGAGTCGCGCGCGGCTGCTTCGTTTTGTTGCGTCGCGCATTTTCCACGGTTCGTTCGAGGAATTGCGCGCTGCGCCTGATGAGCCACGTATTGTTTCTTTTTCTTTTCCCTTTCCTTTTCGTTTCCGCGCGGAGGATGACGCGGAGCCGCGCGTTTGATTAAGTATATTTTATTGTCGCGGTTAACGGGCATTCGCAGAGCAAAGAGCGCTGACCCTCTCGTTTCTCCGCGATCTCGCTTTAATTACTCGAGCCGTAAATCCATTACTCGGGGGGGAGGAGGGGGGAGATTAGATTTCGGCGCGTACGTGTACGTTTGACTACGATCTACAATCCGACAAACATCGCGTGCTGTAATCGTAGGACATATTAAACGTATATCTCGAGTCGAAATCGGAAAGGTGACGAAATGTAGCGGGCGATGTAGCAGGCTGATAAAGCGCCTACCCCGCGAGTTCAAACGAATTACACGCTGAGGAAACGAGTTTTCGGAGGCTTACATTACGTGTAAGCTCGCAAGTACGATCGATAGCGTACATGGACGACACGTCGAATGAGAACGTATATCTATCTTTTTTTTTCTACAACGCTTAAAAAACAATTGTTATAAAGACGGTGTATCGTCCGCGTATACGTAAAATAATCGAAACGGCCCATGGCTTTAAAATGCCTGGAGAGCGACGGGGTCAGTGTCTCTTTTCTTTCCGGCCGCCACGGCTAAATTGCCAGTGTACCTATATACACGGGTGACTCTTCGCTTTGTTAAACATCGGGTCACCGACGAACTGAGCGATGAAATCGCCCCTACGGGAATCTTCGTTTGCGCGTACCTTCGCAGGCCGCTTCCGGCAATCGTGGAAATTGAATAATTTCGATTGGAGCAACGATCGAAAGCGAGGAGCGAGAGAAAGGCACGGCGGGTGTGGGCGAGCCACATTCGTAGTCGGCCATGTTGGCGGCTCGCACCGCGGGATGCCCCGCCGCCGCGCCCACGCGTGTACAACGCTTATACGGGATTTCTCTCCTCTCGCCCTCCTTTTTGCCCACCTCGAAAAATCGATCGGTTCACTGTTGCCCTCTTCGAAGCCCGCGAGGGAGCGCCCATATGCCTCACGCGAGTGGATGGTCATTTGGAGAATTTTTTTTTATCGACGCTTTCTTTTCATCTGGAGATTTTCCAGCATTGAGCCGCCGTCGACGGTGTCAATGTGCGCGAATCGTCGATTGTAGATTGTACAAGAAAGACGTTTTCTCATAAAGATTCAACCAAGATTTTTCAACAATCTATTATTCCTGGAAAAATGCTGTTGGGCGCCCCCTTATATCTGATCTACGCGTTAGTTAACTTGTTCTGCGTACGTTAAACATGTTTTAAAAGATTTGTTCGATAATTTTTGTGCAATCGAGGAGATGATTTTCTACTCGTAATGCAGACACAATCGTGTTCTGATCTACACTGTGAAAAGTCATGTATTGCACAAAAGAATTGGCAAATCATCTGCGCTCCAATAAGAATATCGAACGGTCTTTTTCTATACATAAAACATAGAGAAAAAAAAAAAAGAAAGAAATGCAATATAAACATATGCTGTCTAGTTACGCCGATTACTTTATCGTGACGAACCTCACAAGGGCCGGGCTCGTAATAGCTGGTACTGATCACAAGTTAAAGCTTTTTGATTAGTCTCCTATCGCGCGATCTTGGCTTGTTAGTGAATGGCCTGTCAATCTTCGACGCGCACGTGTCTACTGTACGGTTCTCGCGCTTGTTCATGAAAATCGAGCGTTGCGTAACCTTCCGGCTTCGATCGCGCCCCTCTATTTTCTTTCTGCGCACTCTTGGCCGCGGGCGATTCTTCCGCGATAGCGAAATGAATTGTTTGGGGCTTCGCTGCGGCTTCGCTGCGACGGCTGGTCGTGTTTCGTTCATTTTGAATTTCCAAAAGAGAGCGCTGCCGTCGTCGTTAACTTTCGTGACTTTACATTCTACAATCGAGAAATTGAGGGAATGGAAAAGAAAAGGAAAATAAAAAGAGGCCGGAGAAATTGTCGTTACGTCGTGGTGTACGGTTAAAAGAGCTTTGCGGAAAATTCATTGCGCGGCGCGAACGGTCACGGATTTTAAGCGGTTTACTTTATTTCAGACGGCTGCGACGGGCCGATGCCAGTGACCGTTAGTTCAATGTAACTCAATTGAACGAAGCGCCTGTTGTATTCTCTTGATAATTGCTTCGGAAAATCTTCGGTTATTCAGTAATCTCGAGAGCAAAATCTTTGAGCGATCTTTCCATTCCAATAAAGCTTTCAGCGCTTGAAATTGAAATTCGAAGCGTATGAGAATTCGTTCCAGCGAGAATGACATTAAATGAACTTCCAACAATATATATACATTTCGTTATTCGCGGCAAATGCCCATTCATTAATCGAGAGTTGGCCGGCCTTTTGACGATCCTTCCCAAGCATCGCTGCGAAACACAAGGAGACAGAGGGAAGCGCGCCGTGTGTCAAGGGACTTGTCTGCCGTAATTTTTGCGCTTCATATGCTCAGAATACCCGGTGAGTCATTTTGAATAGAGCCTCACAAATTGACGGCTAATCCTGTTACTCTGTGATGACGCCCACACAATTTGCATTTTTGACTTTTTCAAATCCCATAAATTTTCCTCCCTAATGGCGTTTGGTCTACCGACAAAGCTGTTACGTCGGCATTGCACCCGGAGCTTTTCACATTTTTTCACATACCCGTTGGTTCTTCGACCAAGTTTTTGCCGCGTCTTACCCCAATTTTCACTTCCAGCGCCAATATCTTGCATCCTTAAACGTCTAAGAAAGAGCGTGAAGTTGGGATATTAATGACCGAGGTTAGAAATGATCAATCGTCCTAACCTCAAAACCATACTACCTCTTTCTCTCTCTCTCTCTCTCCTCTCTCTCTGGAAAAATCTCGCGCGTATACGCGAAAAACCGCAACAAACGTGCGCAGCGCTGCACGGGGCGTGACCCGTTGGGAGCCATTAGAGCGGTTGGCCGCAAATTTACGATCGGCACCCGGGGCGCTTTTGGCGGTCATTACTTTACGAGCCAGGTCTCGCAGGGGCGTCGACGACTCCTACGACAGCTCGACTTTTGACTTGAGAATTGCAATCCTCGGGATTCGTCTGTGTTGATGTTTTCAGTTGGCGGCGAGGGAGGACGTATCCTATTTTCCGCTACGGCCGGGAACCAATTAACGGCAGGTGAATTACTCCGAGTCTTTCGGCAGAATTCAAGAGATTAACTGTGTCTGGGGGACTTGAGGCGCGGAGGTCAAGAGTTGTGCGTCTTTCCTTACCCCGGTGTTCCACGGATATTTCAACTATTTTGAGCGATTATTGTGTATTGTTGAGGTCGCGCGAAGTACACTGCTCTTTCTCGAACTCAACGTTCCTTTTCAGCATTTCCAGTTTCGGTTCTTTGTGTGCAACCATCCCCGTACAGCTTTCGGGCTTTCGTGGCACCTTACGTTTGTCGCCGTAGCGTGGGAGGTGTTTGATCCCCCCCTCCCTCCGTTCCCCTTGCCGAAGAAATCTTCGGACTACCAAAGTTGCTCTTCCTTCCACGATACGCCTCTACTTGACGGGGGCAATCCCCTGTAAATAACTGGAAAACGTCACCAGCCCGACCTACGGTTTAAAGCGACGTCCAAAGAGACGCGGCGTTCGATTTTATTGGCGCGTGAAACGTTGTCGGAGGCGCCCCAGGCCTCTTTGACCACGGCGTTTCACTTTGCATCGAATTGCAGCGCGCGTTTGAAGCCCGTGTCAGCTTTAGCCACGACCGAGCTCGTCGCTTCGCGCTGTCGTAACAAATCCTCCGCGCGATCGTCGGCGCGGTGGCGATCATCGGCTCGCGGCTCGGGGAACAGAGGACGAAGGAAAAAAAAATCGCGCGATCGATATCTCTTCGCCATCATCAATCTGCGCGCACACAAGCCAAGAGTGGTTCTCTCTTGGCGGCGTGCGCACGCGCGAGCATTAATTTCCTGCTTTTAATTAGTGGCTTGTGCGAGTGGTGAAAGAGAGAGAGAGAGAGAGAGAGAGACAGTGGCTGCAATGGCGTCGTTCGGGCGCGCGGGCAGACAGAGAAGGCACGAACGAACGAACCAGCGGAGAAAAAAAAAAGGTGAGCGCCCGGAGAGAGGGGAGTTTGATTAATGATTGTTCGTGGAATATGTATCCTGGCAGGGGACTCGACGAGTGCGCACGAGCGTTCTCGTTGAAAGCTTTTTCGATATGGCTTACGGTTCCTTTTTGTGCGCGCGGACGCTTGTTTGATCGTCGCTTTACTTTTTTTTATTTT